CTCTCCGGACTGGGGCTCGGGGTGTTGGGGTATTCTCGGGTGCCGAAAATAGTGCTGCCGACACGTATGTTGGTGGAGCCGACCTCAATCTAATTGGAGAAACAATTCAAATGTATAATAAATTTAACAAAATCGACTTTGCCATAAATTGAACATGGATATCAAGTACAGTTGAAGAGTATTTTGAAATGAAGCAACACTTACCGCATGTTCAAAGTCAGTAGACATGCCCATACTGAGCTCAACCTGCTCTACTGGGATCTTCAGACTTTCACAAACTTCCTCACGACGTTTCAACAGCATCTAGACACAACATAACAGGGTTCCCACACCTTGGTTAACTTCAAATTCAAGGACCTTTCAAGGACTTTCCAGGTCCAATACCCTCAAATTCAAGGACTTAATGTGGGGACACATTTCAAGTGTGAGCAAGGTTACATCCTGTTACCTTGTAAGATGCATTGTTACGGTTTTCATGTGTCAAACACAACTATGCAAAAAAGCATTTTTATTTTTGGCCATATGACAGAGAGCTAATATTCTATTTGTCGTATTTCTGTTTTGCATAAACCTGAAGAATATTCGGTACATCCTATACTGTATTATAAATGATCTGATATTAACTTTTGCATGGATTTTATTTAAAAGAGCTTAGGCTCATGTAACCAGAAGTTTTAAGATATATGAATATGCTTTTAAGTTTTTCTTGCCTCATGGGTTTACATTATCTTAACAAGCAAAGCAATACAACATTAATTTCACATTTTGTCTGTGAAACGTTGAGGTACCATCGTAGTAGTTTTATGCACGCGTGAACGTCATGGCAAAGTACCTCATGCAGGAAACACTTAACGTAAAGCGTAAATGCGCGTAACTAACGTAAATCAAGTAAGCTAGTATGCATAGGCCACGAAATGTTGGCGAAATAACACATTAGCGGACCAGAGGGAATAATATGGAATTTTTTCCAGAAAACTTCTTGCACAAAATAAATTCAAGCCCTTTCAAGGACCAGTATTTTATGTATGTTTATTTTCAAAAACTTTCCAGGGCCTTTACATTTTTTTTTTTTCAGATTCACAAACTTTCAAAGATTTCAAGGACCCGTGGGAACCCTGATAATAATTTAGCTTCTTTCATTTCACATACTACGTTGTAACATCCTTTTAGCATGTTGCAAGCTTGTATAAAAGTTTCTACAAAATTATTAAAGGGGTCATATGATGCGATTTCAAGTTTTCCTTTCTCTTTAGTGTTACAAGCTGTTCGTGAATAGATGCAAAACTGTTGTCAATATTGACAATAATAAGAAAAGTTTCTTGAGCACCAAAACAGTATATTAGAAGAATGATTTCTGAAAGATCATGTGACACTGAAGACTGGAGTAATGATGCTGAAAATTCAGCTTGGCCATCAAATTTTTTTTAATAATATTTAAATTTTAATATATTTTACAATATTACTATATTTTTTGATCATATAAATGCATCCTTGATGAGCATAAGAGACTTCTTTCAGAAAAAAAATTAAAATCTGACCCCAAATTTTGTAAATATCTTTAAATATAGGAGGCTCTAAATATACGTGATATCAGCTGATCTAACGCACCTGGAAATCAGGGTTGGGGCCTTCGCTGAGGTCGTAACCATAACGGCCAATCGTCATGACCCCGGCGAAGTCAAGAGAGGAACACTGAGACACGATGTGTTTTACCACGTTTACAGTCTCTTCGGGTGGCAGGCCATGTTTACCTGATAAAACACGGCCAAGAGAGATGATCATGCTGAGGTTTCAGGAAAACAGTCATCTGATACACTGAGAAAAGGTTTCATAACACTTAACTGTTTTTGTTAGATGTGGCCACTGTGACATTCACATCCAGTCCAAAAGTAAATCAAACAGCATCTGAACCTTTGATATGGGCTTTTTCAACAAAATTGCATAACACATCTGCATTCCACTATGATGCTTCCCCACTGTGTGTCAATACATTTTACAAACATCACAAATACAAAGTACCACATGTGATTTCATAACAGTATAAACATGCTGTAGTGCATTTAAGGACATTTCAGTGGTACATTTCTATTGACTAGTGTCTCAGTAAGAGTTAAAATACGTTTTTGCAACCATTGTTCATTTTGATAACATGCATGAAACGAAGGAAACGTTGTTTGTGTTGACTGTTGACAAAAAACTATGAAAAATAGGCTTGAGAAATAACAAAATATCAAATTTGCCACTCCAAATCACACAAAATTCTTTGCTGTAAAATAGCAAAATACTGTAGGTAGATTTTTATAATAGAGTTTGTACATTTTTCAGAGCTAATGTTTACAGGAGACATACAATTATTCAGGTGCAGAACACTCACTTTCCTCTCCGCTGGTGTTGATCTGCACCATAATCTTTAACTGCTGTGTGTTGGCAGCTCTCATTTTTTGCCACGAGCCGTTGACTTTTTCAGCCAGTTTCATAGAGTCTATCGTCTCTACCATATACAGGTTTGGGACACCTATGAAGTAGTTAAATGAATGCGGGTTAATTCAGAACAAAAAAAGAAATAAATAATAAAAGAAAAAGAAAATAACCAAGTCCTAAACCTATTAATGTCTGACATCACTAGGTAGTTACTGTAAATCTATTTTTAAGTGAGACTAAATGTGAATTGCTTTGCTCACCCAGGAGTTTGTTGACATTATTCTTTTGCAGATGACCAATGAAATGCCATTTTATTTCAGGACATGATGACTCTACCTACAAAGACGTTTTACACAGATTAAGACGTCTGATCAAAAACAACTAAACAAATGCATTCCAATTTGTCTGACTTCATACCAGGGGATGGGAAGCTTTCTCAACAAGTTCATTTACCTGTGGAAAAAGGGGATATATAATACAAGATATTTCATATGAAAAACGTGACCAAGCTTCAAAACATGCATACTTAATTATTTCCTCACATAATTCTCTCCAAAGTTTCGTTGTCCATGTTTGTAAGCCTCCACCACCATCTCTGGTGGTTTAGTCTTACTAACCGCAACCAGTCGAGGGGCAATACATGGTAACGTCTGGAAGAGAAAAGTAAAATACTGTCACTTGCTTACAATAGAGTGTTTAAGAGCAGCGTTGGAAAGAAACTTTTACTTATTACAATATTTGCCCCAATATACAACCCCATATTTAGAAAGACCTAGAGCATAATAAAACTGAATACTAAATGTTAGATAACAAATTAGAAAAGAGAGAGAGATTTGCAGCAATAGTATTGTAAAATGTTTTTAAAAATTAATGTTAATCATTGTTAGTTAATATACAATATATACAGATTATCCAACATACAGACAATAACAGATTAGTAGTGATTAGTCAAATATGGTATGTACATTATAATAACTCTCTTCGATTGCTCTTCATATGATTTACTTTAACCATCAACCTCCATCCAACTTAAAATCTAAATGTGGCAATGAATTTGCTACTTTTGTATACAGTGAAAAGTATAATTTAAGGACTTAATATAATGTTATAAAGTGCATGTAATTGACGCGTGTCCTGTAGATTTCATTTGCTGGAGCGTGACTGCTGAAAATCAGAAAATTTCAAGCAAAATGAATGAATTCACACAATATCCTTATCCTTGAGTAGAAGTTGAATGGTATTCAAATGTAATTCCATCATTCTGGATACCTTGCAACACTTTTATGAATACATTGTGTGTGCCACAAAAAGTAAAAGTCATAATTAACAAGCTGTCACTCATCCCTTGTTACTATATGGAGCTCGCGTGTGTAAAGGTTGAACAGATTACATAACGCTGCCAGAACAACACGGTGAGCATGAGTGGAGAGTTTTTTTTTACAACATTTCAAAAGCATATTGTTGTTTCGTATCATACTCGAAAGAAACCCGTGAAAAACTGACCTTCGGGCGTCGGGAAACTGCTTGATTCACCCGGTCCACCACCGCCTGCAATTTCCTCCCAACCTCCTCCGACATCACTACTCTCCACATAGCCTCAGCGCGCGCACATACACTAGTCCGCGTGACGTCACGAGCAAATCCGGTCAACTTTCCGACAAAATAAAAGTCCTGCCTCATTTAAAGAAGATTGTTTGCATCTTACTGACGATAAAAATGCCAAAGTAAAGTATACTGGCAGCATTTAAAAAACTATAAAATTAAATGTTATTGCAGACTATTTTTTATACAGCACTTATTTTCATGGACCAAGACATTTTTTATTTAACTTTATTTCTATCATATCCTGTCCTATGATGAGAAAACAGAAAAACAATCTATTAATGCTAGATTAGACAAGGAATATTTTCATTAGAAGGAAAATACTGTACATTTAAGTTTTTCAGGCAAATATCTCAGATTAACCAAATTTGACTATTTGAACTAGTCAAGATTATTGAATTGCTTCAAATGAATATTAAAGGGGTCATATGATGCGATTTCAATTTTTCCTTTCTCTTTGGAGTGTTACAAGCTCTTGGTGCATAAAGAAGATCTGTAAAGTTGCAAAGAATAAAGTCTCAAATCCAAAGAGATATTCTTTATAAAAGTTAAGAGTCAGCCACGCCTACCTAAAATGGCTCGTTCTAACACGCCCCCACATGTCTACATCACTATGTGGGAAGATTTGCATAACGCCGTCCAAATGTTCACGCAAAGAAGGCGTAACTTCTAGTCTCACTGTAGTATTGTTGCCGCCGCCATATCCTGAAGACGCTGTGTGCTTCGTTGTGAAAGCGAAACTACTTTGTTTGGCCTTCCAAAAGAGGACGATATCTGCAGAAAGGCAGGGCATAGAGGAGAAACAATCATGTACAGTATGTGGAAAATGTGTTTTTTTTTTACTTTAAACCGCATAAACACATTTCATTACACCAAATACACAAAATAATGTTCTTTTTAGCAGCATCATATGACCCCTTTAAATCAAATATTAATCAAAAGTGAATTTACAAAAATACTTTGGGTTAATCACACTGTAGTCTTCCATTCCATTTATTCACAAAAATGTTGTATGTATGGTGTACACAAATTTCTAGACGTAGGAAAATACATAAAAACAAGGAAGGTGTTTACAAAACAATATTGTTCAACACAATCAATGATTTCTGCTTTAATATTTAGTCTTTGTTGTAAACAGACATGAGAAGTCAATTTTGACATTTGCTGGATACAAAAAAAAAAAAACAGAAAAGCAGGAAAAGAAAGTGGGCATCATCCTCATACTCGTTCGAGAGCCTCCAACATGATTATACTGTTTCCTCTGATCACCTGAAGAGACACAAAAACAAAAGAGCATTCATCATTGCACAGAATAAATCACATAACACAAGTCTTTCAAAAGAAATGTAGATGTAAGAAATCAGCAAATCGTGGTGGAAATGTGAGAAGTGGATATCTGTCTATTTGTTGATCTTTGTGTGATATATTGAATCTCCATTATGATTTAAATATAACAATTGAACTAATATCTGAACATAGTGTCTTTCTATATGATACGAGTGCCAGCTAGTTGTTTCACCATGAGTTTTGTAATGTTTGATACTAGATCGTGGTATTAAGTACTGACCACCATCCCAATATTGTTCACTTGTCCCCCAGGAGCCATTTCTATCGAGTCATCAACGACCAGATTCATGAAGGGATCAAATCCACGCAAGATGCCCTGAACATGACGGCCACCATTGAGTTTCACTGAAAGTGCGCATGAAAACAATGGCTTTACAAAACAAACGCACAAAGAGGTCATTTGAAGTGACACTGATTCGGAACAGAGATATAGTGGAGTTTAATGCATGCTGTAGAACATTCATTTAGATAAGTGTATTATTCATTTTATTCATCTGCACATACTACAAGATCACAATCAAATACTGTTGAAATAAACTATTTTTTAGGAAAATATTATTTGTATTATTAGAAATATTAATATAATATAAAAATATAAAATATTACTACGAAGGCTTTCAGATTTTCTGCATAATATTTTGTGAGAAAATCACACATAATACTCACGTGAAAGCTTCTTGTCCATAAACCTAAAAGGAAAGAACAAAACAATATATTTTATTAAAAACACAATACTAATCTGACCAATACTATACAGATACTGCACCTAACATTCAAACCTAAATCTTATGAACGTGTAATAAAATTTAAATCAGTAGCAGGTGGGTTTTGTGCGTTAAATGAGAATATAATGTAGTTGTGAAATAACTGCAGACAAACCGGCTAACCTAGCGCAGAAGAACGCGATGCTCAAATGTAACTTATCGCATTTCTAAGAGACTTACGATCAAAAGGCTTGAAATACGTACTTTTTCAGCTCGGGCGGGTGTGCTTTGCTCATGTTTATTTCGTTAGATCAAATAGTTTTGTAATACAAAAACGTTTGAAACACGTTTCAAACAATGTATGAACAGTGGCGGAAGTGCTGTACTAGGCACTAGGTCGCGGGATTTTCTGTACCAGTCACCGCGTGCAATATCGCCCCCTACTTTAGCGGAGGATGAACTTCAATAACATTAAAAAAGTGTCGTGTCGATGGTTTGAAAGAAAAACGAAATATTCTACCTCAAATTTTAATGCCATATTTGCGCTACTGGTGTGATTTTTAAAAGCGATAAAAATAACAACAAAAAAACTACCACACAATTTGAACAATTTATTCAAAAACAATGTCAATGTAATGTGTAACATGAGGTAAATTTTCTGACAAACATTATTCAAAGGAAAAAAAATCATCACACATCTTGGGACAAAGCAGGTGATACTGGAGGTAGCCGCAAGTAAACACACCCAGACAGTAATGTAGAGAACTAAACTTAAAATGCCTCCAGTCTATAGTTATATTATTTTGCACTCATCATTAACAATGTGAGTCATAAAGTGAATATTATACAGTGTTCAAAGAAGAGGAAAAAAAAAAGGTCAGTGCAAAAAACGCCTCAGGTTAAGAACCCCTGATATACAAATTAAACAATACAATCGACTTGTTCTGTTGCCCGAGTCACCTAATCTGAGGTCTCATATCTGCACATAGGTCATTCATCCAGTATATCTCTCATAAGAAAGTAATGAAATTATACTTGCAATATTTGGTCATAAACTATCATGTATATAAAGCATGCTACTATCCGTAAAGCTTCTACAACTTTATAAGAGTAAAGCTTACTTTGTTTCATGTAGTTCACGAAAAACAAACAAGAAATTTCACAATGCTTAAGTAAAACGCTTTATAATAAAACAGGTTGAAACACTTCAGTAGCCGAATCTAGCAGATACAAAGATATTATGCCCCCCCACCTGACAAGACAGCAAGAAGCACATTTAGCTGGTTTTGTGTTTCAGCAAGGCACTGGCCATCTAGAAAACAGAAGTAATGTATGTGTATATGTCAAAACATTAAATTCACCATATTCTCATAGTAACATAATGGATATGATTGGTTTTAAGTACCCATATCTGACAAAATACAACTGGCTTGTCAATATTATTAAAGGCCTCTATTATTTGTCTGGCTGTTTGGCTCAGATCGAGTGAGTTTTCCTGTGTACAACATTATACCTCACGATCCACAGAAATCAAAACCTGTAAAATACTGATATTTAGACAGTTTACCAAAACCAAAAATGCCTGATGAATGTAATTCCTGATAGCCTGAAAAACTGCAGATTGATTTCCCTGCATTTAAAGGGATAGTTCACCCAAAAATTAAAAGCCTGTCATCATTTACTCACCCTTGTGTCATTCCAAACCTGCATGACTGTCTTTCTTCTGTGGAACATACAAGATGATATTTTGATGAATGTTTGCAACAGTTTTAGTTGAATTTAACTTCCATTATATGGACAAAAAATACAATGGAAGTCAATGGGAACCAAAATGTTTTGGTTATCAACATTTTTCAAAATATCTTCTTTTGTGTTCCACAACATTAGGGTGAGTAAATGATGACAGACATTTAATTTTTCAAGGAATAGTTCACCAAATAATTACAATTCCATAATTATTTATTCACTTTCATAAAACCTATATGCATACACAGAAATGTAAAGAATATTCACCTTTTTTTGAAGCACATTTATGGTGCTTTTTGTCTAAATATATGCAATGGTTCTTTAAAAAAAAAAAAAGTATGTTCTGTAAGAAAAAATAACAGCAAACATGTTTAGAACAACATGATGGTGAGAAAATTTGATTTTTTTTTTTGAGTGAACTATTCCTTAAAAGAAATGGAAGCTCTTTCAGCCATCACTGAATTCATCTTCATTGTCACGTAGCAGATGTTTCTGGCAGTGCTCTAGAAAAGTGTCCAGGGCTATGAAGGCTTCGGCACATGGCACACAGTGATAGACTTTCTTTTCACAAACTTCTGGAATCTCAGCGAGGGGAATCCCAAATGTACACACACTACAACACCTGCATGTGTTGGCTGGTTGATAACGCTCTTCAGGGATTTCCTCATGGATGTTCTCATGGACATGCAGCTCAGCTTTGGAGCTAAAGACCTGGTCGCATGACGTACAAGCATACTCAGCATCCTCACCATCACTGTCGTCCTGCTTAACCGTTTCAGCTGCTTCTTCTTGCTTAGTTTCTGTCAAAACAGGTAGATTTTTGGTCCTAGCTCTACCTCTCTTTGAAGGTCTATTTTCTTGGGAAGGTCTGGGATCCTTGGCTGCCTTTGGGTGAAACCCAACTGCATCAGCGCCGGATGATTTGCCACTCAATTTAAGGTGGGTCTGATGGTGAGAGCTGTAGTGTCTAAAATGCGCCCAACGGGTCAGATGGTGCAGGAACTCTTTTCCGCAGTGGAGGCATGGATATGTTTCACCTTTCTGCCTTTGCCTGGTGGTCTTCAAAGAGGTTCTCTGCAGTTTCCTCACCTTTATCTCCCGCCGGTGTTCCTCTTTCCTGTGCTGATGGAGCAGTGATGTCTTAGGAAATGATTTGTCACAGGAACGGCATGGAAACAACATACTTGATTTGAGAACTCTATTCTTCTCCGTGCTGCTTTTCATGTGCGTGTGGGAAAAGCGCATGTGGCAAGCAAGTCCAGTAGAAGAACGGAACGTTCTGGTACACAAAGTGCATGTGGTAAGAGATGCGGTGGTTTTTGGAGGAGATGGAGGCAAGGAGGCGTATGAAGGTGAAGGAGGTTTTAGAGTCTTGGCAGGCTGACAGTCTCCGGCCTGCTGGTGGTGCAGCAGCCCTTGCTTGTGGCTGAAGGCTTGTCCGCATGGGGTGCACGCATAGGGGCTGTTGTCATGATAGAAGGGATCTTCTGAAGATTCAGTCCCGCAGGAAGGGCAAGATGAACCCCTTTGAGGTTTCCCCCTGCACGTCTGGCACATGGATGAGGCGTGAGAGCATTTGTGTAGCTGCAAACTAGAGAGCAAAACAAATTTTTGGCCACAGCGTTGACAGCGATGGAGCTTTCGCAGGGCGTGCTCTCTTTCCTGGTGACGCACAAGACTGTTCAGGTCGGAGAATTTGTGGCCGCAGTCTTTGCAGATGGATGAAGATGGCTGTGGTTTTGGTTTGTACTCGATGCAAGTGATCAGTTGAGCCAGTTTGGATAAGGTGTCTGACATGGGTCTAGCCCTAGTGGGGATCTGGTCACATTTTGCTCCATTCCAACATTGTACAGAATCCATATTCCTACATGAAAATAGAAAAATATAAAGCAAATGAATCATATTTTGATTTGGAATTTATTGCTATACATAAATGTGTATACATACACAAACACACACACGCATATACATATATATATATATATATATATATATATATATATATATATTGCATTATCTCCCATTCAGTCTAGCCAACTTAATATTTGTGTTATGGTTTTCTGGAAATACAAGCTCTTTAATAGCAATGCAAGAACTGTTAAAACATAAAATAATATTATACTAAAATATTATACTAAAATAAAAAAAAATAAGTAACAAATAATGAAACAAATTAGTATTGCTATATAATGAAGACACCTAGATAAAATGCATGCAGCATTACTGTAGCACTGACACAGGAAGAGTTTGCTAGCCGTCTTACTACGCTTCTGGCATGCAACTGACATACAAACATACCCGCTCGAGGACTTTGTATCACACAAAATGGGTTTCTCTCCCATCTATGTGGACATTAGAGCAGGTGTTTTTAGGTTCATAAACGCAAAACGCGCGAAATGTTGAGGTCAGACGCACACGGACTTTCACTTCAACTCCCATGCGCTTCTACTAAAGAACTACAATTCCCATCATCCCCCACGCGTCTATGGTGGTTTATTCACATAAATAAACGTGAGTATAAAATTAAATTAAACCCATATGAACATGTAAGGCTGATTTATTATCAGTTGATTAAAAAATGGCCCTGGAAAGACAGTTTTTCAATTTATCAATAAAACACTGTTGTTGTTAACTACAACTAAAAACTATGTTTTTGTTAATCGAAATAAAGCTGAAATAAATAAAATAAAATCTAAAATATTAGATGAAAATCCTAACTACCAAAGCTGAAATAAACAATAAATGACGAAAACACTCAAACGTAAACTAAAACATATACAACACACAAACATACAATATATATAGTATTTAATATTTTAATTTCCATCTTTTTATGATAGATTCATAATACGAGCGCAAGTAGAAGACTTTTATTATGAAATGTGCTCAAACGGCACCACATCTTCCCCTAGTGAGGTGGAGTGAAATTACACCCCTCTTATTGGGATTATTAATATATATACACAGTTGTCATTGGTTTTTATTCACCCATATCATTTACTACCACGATTCAAATAAAACGCGCCAGTTTAGAGATGAAATCATAATATTTGTGCTTCTTATGTGACATCGTGTCCTCCTCCGGTCCTGTTGGCGGCAGCGGCACCCGTCCGCACGGTGCCACATCAGAACAGTGTGTCCCGCTCACCGGCGGTTTATGAAGGCTTCACCGGTTTAACCTCAATCGGTTTTAGAGGAATCGCAGGGGAAAGGGCTATTGTTTCAGTAGATGATTATGTAGAAGTCGAAATATGATACTTGCACCGCAAAGATTTAACGCACAGCGGGGGTTTGATTTTCATTTATTCACAGAGATGACAGCGAGCGCTTGTTTATTACTGTGCTAATCGTGTCATTCGAGATTAATCGTTATCATTTTACACACGTTGAATAGGCTAAGTTGTATTTTTGATGGCCGTGTCAGGAGGCGCCCGGCGGATCCCGATGGGTGTGCGGACATTCAGTGAGTTTCTGGAAATAGCGACGGTCGGTCCGTGTCGCTCCAGCAGCCCGTATAAATGCAGAGCGAGAATACAGCACTGGCCCATCAGGTAAAACACCGCAGTTAACCTACATATAGATGCTGTTATTGAGTGTTCGATGACCAAATATTGGAACAGAGCGAGCTGGAAAATCGTATAAAATTACCATCGTTTCCGCTAAAATACCATACTTAAGTTACTTGTTTATTTCAGGAGATACTCAATATAGAATCTAAAATAAAAAGTAATGTAAATGTAAAATAGAATACATTAAATAAGGCAAATTTATACAAAACATATATATTTTTAAATAGTTTTAAGATATAGTCAAGATATAAAATCAAGGAATATCATTTAAAATAGAATACGTAAAAATATTTCTATAATAAATTATAGAATTGTATAATTAGTTCTGTAATAAACCTTATAAGAATAAACCTCATGATACCAGTTTAGAAATATATAACACGTTTGATTATCAGTTATTCTACGTACATTTAGAAAATGTAGTTTCACAAATACCATAATTATTACAGTTATAATAAAAACAACTGTCATAATAAAAAAAAGTAAATAAAGTGACAGAAAGATTATGACCGCTTTTTATACTAGTACTAGGATATTTATTCAGATTTTTACAGTAGGCACAACAAGTAAGGAGGATTTTATGGTTGCAATGGTAACTGGTTTTGGAAGATTTTTAAATAGTTTAATATGACTGTAGATCACATAGATAGCATGGCTTATAGGAAGATGCTTTATATTATGGTAATATTATGTTTTTTGGACACGTACCACAGTACAGTTATACTAATTATTTCATGAATATACTAATTATTTCATTCAGTACCATAGTATGATGGTGTAACCACCACAGACCGTTCCTGTTTGTACTGCATGCATTGTATTTATCAGAATCCTGTTTTTTTTTTTTTTGTATGTCAGACACCTGTCCTCCTGCGGGATCTTGATGACCCGTCATCCTCGCGCTCTCGGTCTCACTGAAGTGGGTTTGACTCCCACTCATCACAGGAGATCTTTCATCAGCCTCACCAATAAGAGAAAAGAGTATTCAGAGAGGAGAATACTAGGGTAAGTTGCCTAACTAATTCTAGGGTAGGTTAAGATTGACCCAGTGTCTGATCCTGAACAATGACCCCTTCTTCTTTCCTCAGGGAGGATGAAGGTAAGCTTTTGTGGTGTTGAATAATAAATTAACAGAGCTGTATTGATCTAGTGGAGGTGGAGCAGCTGGAAACAAAGATCTAAGACAGGGACATAAATACTGAACCATTAATGAAAAAAAAAAAATAAGAATGAATAAATAGTAGTACCAAAAATAAATGAAATAAAATAGAACAAAACACATTTATAGCTTTTTGTATTGGGCAAAAATAGCAGTATCTGTATGTATTTTGTGTATTTTATTGAAGTGTAATTTTTGGTATTCTTTATATTTTTATATTATTTTATGTTTTTAGTTTTAGTAATTTTATTTTTTAATATTTCCATTTAGCTCTAATTTAATTCCAGTTTTAGTTTAAGTACTTCTTAGTACTTCACTTTAAACTATTTAATTTCAGTTAGTTGCCAGTGCAACATTAATAATTTTCATTTCTAAATGATTGAATTGTTTTTCATCTAATATTAAGATTTTATTTGATTTCCGCTCTATTTCAATTGGGGGGAAAAAAGATTCTAAATTGATTTAGTTAATAACAGCAACACTTTTATTGTCTGTTTATGAAAGTATTTGTATTTATTTCAACTTGAGACTCAATTGACCCTTCGCAAAGACCACCCCCCTCCCTTAGTTACTGTTGCTACGTCCGACAAACCATGGCGCTCTCATGCCACACATCATGTTTCACTCACGCAGTGAAACGCGTCAACAAGACAGAGCAGGTTACTTTTGGTATTAATATAGTCTCAGCTTTCAAACTTTGTCATTTTTTTTTATTTTTTAAGAAATGTTAACAATAAATACCGTTTTGTGGCTCTTTAATGTGTCATGACAGATCGCTGTAGCGCCTCAGTTCAAGCAGCACGCGAACCGATCATCTCTTCCTCTTCACTAGTTATAGCACGAAACAAACATAAATGAACATAAGAAAGTATCTTGTTTCAACCAGGAAAAGACGTCAATACACACTATTTTTCAAGTTCAAGTCCACCAACATTAATCTACTCTCTTGTCTGGTTTGTTTGTCGGACAAAATGGCAGATTCGGCGTTATGATTGGTCAGATCACCTGTCAATCAAACTCCCTGCAAAGGGTCAGTTCTAAATGAAAAAGATGTACCTGTATTTTGTTCTTTAGGTACTCAATGCAAGAGATGTATGATGTGGTAGCCAATGTGGATGACTACAAACACTTTGTACCGTGGTGTAAAAAGTCCCAAACCATCATGAAAAGAGCCGGTCATGCCAAAGCTCAGCTGGAAGTGGGCTTCTCTCCTGTTGTTGAGCGATACACTTCAATGATAAGCCACGTCCGTCCACATCTGGTCAAAGTAAGTCGCCCTGTGTGCTTTACAACATCTTTAATATCATCACTGAAATGAAAAGTTCAAATTTTGTAAATAATTAAATTTCAACCCATCCCATTTCAGGCAGTGTGTTCAGACGGTAAACTCTTCAATCATTTAGAGACAATATGGCGGTTTAGTCCCGGTATTCCTGGCTATCCTCGCACATGCACTGTAGACTTCTCTGTAAGTATCATTTACAAACGTTTGCTTCCAGTTGACCCTACCCCTTGGTTACTGTTGCTAGGTCAGACAAGCTTGCAGAATGTAAAATAGAGATTTCTGCAGTTTTGGGGTAAAAATCAGTTTACAACTATCCAAACATGCAACACTTTCATACATTTTAATCAGACTAAAAAAAACATGTTTATAAGTTTCAGTTTTATAAGTTTGAGTGATTTTGTTGTGTGTTTTTATTGGTTTTATTAGTTTTTGATTTTTATATGTCTAGTTAGTTTTTATTCATTATTATTTCAGTTTTAAGTAATTTTAGTACATCACCTTAAAGGGTTAGTTCACCCAAAAAAGAAAATTCTGTCATTAATTACTCACCCTCATGTCGTTTCAAACCCGTAAGACCTTCGTTCATCTTCGGAACACAAATGAAGATATTTTTGATGGAATCTGAGAGCTGTCTGACCCTGCATAAACAGCAATACAACTGAAATGTTCCCAAGTCCAGAAATGTAGCAAGGAGATCTGTAAAATAATCCATGTGACATCAGGGGTTCAACTGTAATTTTACGAAGCTACGAGAATACATTTTGTGCGTAAAAGAAAATGTAAAAAACGACTTTATTCAACAATTCGTCTCCTCTGTGTCACCCTGTAGCGCCATTTTGGAGAGTATCGGCGTAAACAACATAGACATGGTAAACAGCGTATGCTGTTCTGTGTCAGCTGCGTCACACGGATACGTTTCAGTTGTGTTGCTGTCTATGCAGGGTCAGACAGCTCTCAGATTCCATCAAAAATAAATTAATTTGCGTTAAAAAAGGTCTTACGGGTTTGAAACGACATGAGGGTGAGTAATTAATGACAGAATGTTCTTTTTTGCGTGAACTATCCCTTTAAATTGTGAAAATTAGAAACTTGGCGGAAATAAAATACGTTTTTTTGTATTTTATTTTATTTCACTTAACGTTTATTTAGTTTCAATTAATGCACATGCTATAGTTTTAATTAGCGATAACACTGGTAGGCAGTAATGTTTTATCTTAGAGTCAGTGTATGTTAGGAAGTCAACTCACCGTGTCTCTTTCTCTCTGGATGTTGTTGGTTTTCCTCAGATCTCGTTCGAGTTCCGCTCATTGCTGCATTCGCAGTTAGCGACGGTGTTTTTCGACGAGGTGGTGAAGCAGATGGTGGCCGCGTTTGAGCGGCGAGCGGGCAAACTCTACGGACCCGAGACGAGAATACCCCGCGAGCTCATGTTTCACGAGGTCCATCAAACGTGAGATGCACCTTCATACTGGACTCATAGAACTCTTTAGACCGTTATCACATGACAAATCAGATCACTAGATTACTTTGGGATGGTACGAGAGATACCATTTACTTTTAGAAAAAGATTTCAGTTCATCTGAGGTACTGTACCTTATACGTGTATTTTTAAAACATTTTTTTTTTTGCTTTTTGAATGTGAATGAAGATTAATTGATTATTGCAGCCCTGACTGGTAAGATTTGAAAGTTGAAGTTCAAAAAACGGACACTTGGACGTTTCACTAGGGTTTCATCTGGTTTACTCGTTTTGTCTTGCTGCAAGATAATTGGGGCCAAATCTGACTGATTACTTAAACTGAAAGGAATATTTTAGGTGAAATCTGTCGCACGCTGTTGATTACCACACAAAATTGTTTTGATTTGTACCTCAGATTTTATAAACAAACAATAAAACATGTACAGCACAACCATTGTTTACTTTCCCCTTGCAAATGCGCAGTTGTTGATGATTTTTATGGTTTGAAGTCAATATTATTTTGTGTGGTAATCAACGGCATGCAAAAGACACAGATAAACCCAGAATATTCTTTCTAAAACGAATCTTCATATACCTAAATATTAATATAGTGAAAATTCAGACCTACTTGATTTCCACACTGCACTGAATTTATAATATTCATCTCAAGTAGTCACACGCGGAGGTTTGTGACTCCAAACACAACTGCAAATATAATAAAAATTAATTATGCAGTTAGAGTGACCTCAAATGTTTCTCTCACCTAAATATTTATCCTCATAGACAACAAAAACGTTTGTTTATATAAGTAGTGTATTGTAATGAAAAAAAATGAAGAATTATATTTAGCATGCTTTTGCTTTCTTTGGATGCATTCATGCAAACTCAGGGCTTTGGCGAAATTCAAAGGAAAGAAATGTAAGAACTCAACCTGTTGTTCCCTAATAGTGATCCCAGTTTGTGCCTGTTCATGTAGACTGTGCCATTTCTGTTTTGTTGCTACATTAATGTTTAAACACTACTGTATTTGTGTTTTGTGATTTCTTGAAAAGCTACAGTATGAGCTGGCCGAAGCATCAGATACAAACATAACGGTTTCTTTTTTTCAACATTTATTTTATGAGATTTTATTTTCAGCCATTTCAATGCCTTATGTAAGTGTTCATAGCATTTATAAATGACATCAAATAATGTAATTGTCAAGATGTTGATTGGTAATTTACTTGTGCTGTATCAAACACCTGTCTTAAGAGTCTTCTGTGGAAATAACATCACCGTCAGTAGATTTCTAGGGTTTGTCATAAAAACACCTTGTTAGATGTCTGTTAGGTCAGAATGTTTGGTTGAAGGACTGTGAATAAGAACCAGAGATGAGCAGTGCTTCATAAGAGCAAGAAGAGCAGTTTTAGAAATTCTCTCCGAAATGAATGTTGTCTGTTCAGTAAAGCTTAATTCTCTGTCAACAGGCCTGTCGTCAGTGTTATAATCTTGCACAAGCATTTCTTTTGAGAATCTTTACATTTATTTCCAAACAAATATTTTGTGTCTGTTTTACTTGAACTGCTTGAGATTCATTAGGAGGCCGATTTCCTGCTTTGAATTATGACGCATTTGATCTTGAAGTACACGTGGTTTCTTACCTCAGAGTGGTAGCTCTATGATTGAATCCTATGTTGAGGAGATACACGGGTACTTGTGAAAACGTAACAGTGATGCAGTACCAGGGAACAAAGAATACAAAGTGAAACCAGCAGTGGAGGTTGAGGAAATCGGAGGAAGGTGGTGGTATCTGGGTCATGTATTTATAACCGCATGAGAGCTGCCCTGACCTGAAGATCGTTTCCTTGCAGATCTTTAAACAAAATTCACCATTAAAACTGAATTTAAAATCGATTCGTTAAAGAAGAATTACCAGGCTTAGATCTTTAGACAATACTGCACATAATTTGAGCAATAACCATGTTTGTGTGCACATCATTTACAGAATAAAGGGGTAGTTCACCTAAAAATGACAAATCTGACATTTACTCACCACATGTCTTTCCCAACCTGTATTTATTACTTTCTTCTGTGGAACATAAAAGATATTTTGAGAAATGTCTGTTTTTTTTTTAAACAGCTTTTTTAACATTTTGAATGTTTTTTTTTTTTCATTTTAACTTTTACTAATTTTTATATCTATATAGCTTTATTGTTTTACTTAAGTGCATGTAATTTTAGTATTTCAATTTAGTATATATATTTTTTTAAATACTTGAATGTTTTTAGTTGTAGTCAACAATAACAACACTGCTCCATTGTTGTTTGATTCCCAATGCACCTTTGGAAACAAAACCAACAAAAATCACAGCTATTTAAGTGCTATTGAAATATGGTATATGGTTTGATTTGTTAAAACAAGTAGCACCCAGATTTACTTTAATTTGGATATGTACAAATATAAATGTATATTCCAAATTACTCCAAATACATGACAATTATGAATTGTAAGGCAATATATCAACTACACTCCTAATAATAAATGTTCCTAAAACAGGTTTTCATAGCAATGACATGGAACCATTCTGAGTTCCACAAAGAAGCTTTCACCGAGCAGAAACATTTTTATAATCTAAAGAACCTTTTGTGTGCATTGAAAAGGTTCCATGGATGTTAAAGGTTTTTCATGGAACTGCAGATGCCAATAAAGAAACTTTGTTTTTAAGTGTATCTTATTTGGCTTGGGTTAATAACTTTACATTGGCATTTGAATTATGGACAGCTGAATAGTAGAACATGACCGAATTGGATTGATAACAGAATAATCTTGTTCATATAAGCGGTCACTGAGTGAAGGGTTATCATGTTAAAAAAAGAAAAAAAAGAGGAAGAAAATATAAAGTCCAGAGGGTTTGTTAAAAACATTTATTGGTTTTCCTTTTTTGTCAAATTTTCCCATTTTCTTTTTTGTTCGCCTAAGATTCCTTTTCCCCAAACAATCCAGACTCATTTCTCCCATTCTCTTGTTCCCCTCCCCATTTCCCCTGGTCAATCTGACTTCAACCAATCATCTCCATATTCACATTCCTCGTTATTTAAATTAACCCGACAGAGCATAAGCCAATCATGTACATCATGATGAAAACAGTCACACTGGAAAAGGGCACGGCAAACTGGACAATTATTCTCACGCCATTAGATGAGAAGGAAATGTGCCATTGAGTTAATGGAGTGCTTATAGACTGACTAGCTAAAATAGCTAAAAAAAACAAAAAAAAAAACAAGAGTAAGCGTGCAAGAGAGCAGGACCCGTGTGCATCACAGCAGTACGTGTCATGTACAAGTCGTGTGTTAAATTATATTAAAGGTATAGTATACTTAAAATAGGGTTAAGTGAGTCATCATAGATAAGTGGTTTGACTAACAGGGATGGTGAGACAGTGTTTTGATATGCAGTTCATACATTCAAGCTATATTTACATGAATAAATAAAACCACAACTTATGTATACCTACACAAAATGATAGCTTTTCTCTATACAAGACATCATTCTTCAAAACACGGGAAAAAAAGACACTAGAACTCTAAACAGGTAAAAAGTAGCAGATTTTGAGCGCTCGTGGATGAACGTACAAATAAACGCCACAAATTCGACTTGCTCTCAAGTTGGTACACGAATCACCTGCTACTACACTCACTTGTGTGAATGACACGAATCTTTAACAAATCAAAGCCAATATGTCCACTGATGAAATTCAGAAGGACTGGTCATTTCAAATAAAGAGGGCACCACATGTGCTTCCAAACAACAGACAGGAAAATGAAGACGATTGGTTGAAATCAGAGAGAAATATGAGAGATAACTTAAAGGGGCAGTACCCATTTAAACAAATATACAAGCTTCCCAAGTTGAACTGAACTCATAGAATCAATTCTATTGAGAGAGGACCATATTGCCATCATGGAGTGCTCTTACGCGGAGAAACGTGATGTTAGCTAGAGGGACACCTAGTCAAATTTCATCAAATTATCACAGGCTCAGAGCAGGGTGTTGACAATTAATTTCCTCATACAAACAGAGGCTCAAGTGAACATCTGATCTCAGGAGAGTAAAAATACAAGGCTAAAACTGAAATAATTGTTATGAGAGCTGAGGATAAAGGGTTTATTTACATACTAGGCGAACTAACTCTTCTGAACTAGTATTTAATAGACATTAGTTTAAATAAGGGGAGAGACGATTTCTGGAAAGACATATCACTCTCGGCTGTGTTCTTGGACAATAACACAGCCTTCTCCATCAAACCACCTAGCTACATCCATAGCTGTGTCATACGGTCGGAAAAATCTGCGGGAAAACTTAAGAGGAGTGACTGCAAGCAATCACTGTGTAATGGGTCTACACATTTCTCGTGAAAAAGTAGCTTTAAATATGCATTTTGGGGAAGAAAGACTAATAAAGTGTAAATGGCATGTGTAATCTTGATGTTATATTAATAACAAAGGCCTTTTTTAGATGAAATTTAAAAGTGTACCGTCTCTTTAAATCCCTTAGACCAGTTTCTTGTTTCTAATATTTTAAGTTCCTCCCCTTCCTGTACCCACTTCGCTGGCATGGTCTCTCCCTCTCTAGCCTGATTTGGCCCCAACTAGAGCCATGAGTCCGTCCGTGCTCATGGACTTGGGACGCTCCAGAGGGAAGCCGAGCGCTCTGCTCCACACCAGCTGGGAGAGGACACCCAAAGCCCGGGATACGCCAAACAACACAGTGTAATAGTTCATCTCAGTCATGCCATAATACTGCAAAACACAATAGTAAAAACATGAGATGAATTTCAACTGAGCAAGCAGAAAAATAGATAAAAGAAAAAGGAACAGGTAACTAACTCTTCTCAGTTCGACCATATATTCAATGGGATATTTTTATATTTGGTCAATTTACATAAAAGGTTAAATATAGGTTTAAATAAAATGATTCTTCATTAATAATCTAATTATAATACTAATATTATAATTATTATAATAGTTTTTAAAATAATATCTTTATTGCGCATATACACACACATTTGTGTGTGTGTGTGTGTGTGTGTGTGTATGTGTGTGTATATATATATATATATATATACACACACATACACACACACACACACACACTTTTTTTAGTTACAAGACACTAAACCAGCACCAAATGTTTACCGTTTAGCATTTAAAACAGCTGTGTAATAGGACCAAGTATATTTATGAATAAAGTAAATTGGGTAAATCACCTTTTAATCACAAATTTACATGAATTACTGGATAGTTTCTGGTTTCTTACTTGCAACAGGACTCCGCTGTGGGCATCTACATTGGGCCAGGGGTTCTTAGCCTTGCCCTGCTCCAGAAGCACGTTGGGTACGATCTTGTAGAGTTGAGCTACCAGCTTGAACATGGGGTCGTTGGGAAGGTGCTTGAGGGCAAACTCACGCTGACAGGTATAGCGAGGATCGGTGTTCCTCAGTACAGCGTGGCCATAGCCTGGCACCACCTGAACAATGACACGAGAGAGAACAAACTGTGAATGATAATCATCCATCATATTTTGATCAATCTGCATTGAGTTTTTGTGCTGATGCATTTCCTATTGAATTGGGAAATAGCAAAGGCACTCACTCTGCCTGATTTGAGCGTGTTCCAAATGTAATCTCTCATTTTCTCATCGGACACCTCACCTCCGAGCTCCTTCTGCAGGGCTGTCAGCCATACCAACACCTCCTATAGGACACAGGAAGACATTAAAGAAATGCAAAGCTGGTTAGTACTTTATAACCATATGTCCTGTATGTAAGTAAGCACATTAAGGCTCAAACCTGATTGGCCAGTCCGTGCAGGGGTCCGGCCAGACCATTCATAGCAGCGCTAAAGGAGAGGTAGGGGTCGGACAGGGCACTGCCTACCAGGTGACTAGTGTGTGCGCTGACATTTCCACCCTCATGGTCACTGAAATGGAACAAAAGAGGTTAAGGTTACGGTCATAGGACACTGAACTAGGTCAGACTGGTAAACAAACATAACCGCAAGAGGGCAGACTTGATTCCCTTATCGAAAACAGTCATTCCTCTTCCCCTTTCTTTCCTAACAAAAGATGTACACTAGCATGTTGAATGTTTTCTTGCTGACTGAACAAAATGTGCAGTCTACAGTCACTGATCAAAGGGAAACTGAAAGACATCAATAAACCACAATAATTTTTCAAAATTAAACTGTATAATGTGTGAAAGTTTAGCACCATTAACCATCATGAGAGAATTAATGTGCTGGTAACTTTGGTAACTGGTAAATTTGACAACATGTATAGAAAATGATGTACTAAAAAAAGAAGTATAAAATTTGATATATAAAAAAAATGTCTACTTTTCAAAATGTTAAATAATTATATATATACGAAACTCTTAATCGTATCTAATCCCATATAAAAGCACTTCAATTGCATCCATTTAATAAGCAATAAAAGTGATAACTGGTTTTGATAGCACAGATAGTAGGTCTCACTGGTCCAAAGTCACTTTCCACACAGCTGTATATTTAACATCAAATAACCAACAATTATCTTGATTAATCTGTCAATTATTTATTAATCCACAGCTTGATCAATGATCGCTGCAGCCCTAGAAAATTACTACACACTGCTAACTTGTCCAAGCTGGGTTTAGCATGTTAAGCAGATTGTTTGCATTTAAGATTACACCAATGCTCTTCACTTCCTTTTTTTGGTTCAGATAATGGCAGTTCTTCTACAAATAGCTAATTTACAGAATTGTACTAGTGGCCTGAATGATCCAGTTTGGTAATGGACGAACCAGTAGAGGAGGAGTTTGTGACGAATGAGTGAGTGAGTTTGTAGGTCATCACCTGTGGATGGTGAGGTAGAGCCTCATGAGTTCTGTGAACTGTGGATCGCTGTAGCCCAGCATGTTGGTGAAGTTGTGTGACCAGTCCAGGTTGGAGTCGATGGCACCGATGCTGCTGCCTTCACGGTATAAATTACGGTAGATCTTGGCCGCCACGCAGGGGAGCTTGGCAATCAAGTCCATGGAGTCCTCGTACACAAACTACACAGAAATGGCATGAA